TCTGTGGCTCCATACTTAGCTATTTGAAATCTTCACAAATCCACCCCTCTCAGTCAGCTTCCACGAACCAGCAGCATGGTCCGTTAGTGAGACGACGGACTGTCAGTCACCTCTGTCACTCTATACTTAGATTATTTCAACTCACGTACTGGAACCACTCCTCTGATCACTTCTAGGGTGCTACAGGACAGACCGTAAGTAATTCGACGGTCTGTCAGTCCCCACCGTGGTTCCACACTTAGCTAGATTTCCATGAGCTTCAATCTTGCCATGCCTGGTCATCCCACGAACCTTATCTATGGGGCGTCACTCATCCTACGATCCGTTGGTGCCTCCGTAGGTGACTCTTTTCAGTACTTGCTTCAGCCATATCTTCATCTTTTCACGCCTGAGTTTATTTCCTGAAATTATAACAAAAAACACATAAAACAAACACAAAAATGCCCTAGACATTCACCAATTCTAAGTGAAACGTATCAATAGTACCGTAAACTCACGGTATATCACAGGGGCAGAAGATTAGTATAAGTACCAAAAAAGCTACTCAGTAGGCAACAACCAACTACGCTCAATAGATAACATAAGCATAACCACCAAGTAATAAGGAAAGTATATCACAAGTAAGTAAACATGAGATACTAAAGTAGACATGAAATAAAGAATAGAAATAAGAAAAAAAGGGGTAAGAAGTCGAGTTGAGAACGTACCTGGATCGGAAGCTAACAGCCTAATCGCAAACAACTAAGACACCAAGTCAACTACCCAATGTCAGGAGGACCCAAAAATATAATTCTAAAGTCAGAACCTACTAGGTAACAATAAAACAACAATAGATAATAGAATTTAGTCAAACTATAACCTAACCACACCCCTATAAGCCTGAAAAGCACAAATAGCAAACATAACCCAACCGACACCATAGACTTGAGGGGTCAAACAACAAACAAGTATATTGGTGATAGATAATGCATAATGCATGATAACCATCTGAACCATTAATAATAATCTCCAAACCCCTAACTAGAAGTGTCATCTTGAACCATAAAACATCAGTATCATCCTCGAACCAAATGTAACAACTTCAAACATTGAGTAAACAATAACGGGGTCACCTACCCAGATAGTAAACTCTCAAAGGTGCCAACAACAACAAAAGAATGCAAGAAAGGACGTCAACGCGCTGACTAGTCAAGTGAAAACTAAGCACATCCAAATGCCTCTAATTTCTCGAGTAGAAAAAAGAGCACATCCCCAATGCCTCATAATCTCAAAAATCAGTAAGTCAGGTTACCAAGTGGTACGACTCCCCTTTATCAAGTTTAGAATAAATATTGAGTAAAACTGTAATACCCCAAAAACTAGTAGACCAAACTAGATCCACAAGCTAGGGTTCTAAGGCTGGATGTATGAGAAATAGAGTCGTAGATGAGACTTTACGTGCTTAGAATGAGGAGGTTAGTGGTTGAACGTCAAGGTACGTATTAGACCTAGTAGCCTAGATGACCATTGATAGTTTGGTTGAGCATGGGAATGGGCAAGTACCAAGGCAAAAGGGAAAGCCTAAGCCAAGGGGCCAAGGCTGTCCAACCTTGGCAAGACACTGCCTAAGAGTTCACGACAACCTTCATGACCAGTGGTGTGGACCACGGTCCGTGAAGTGGTCCGTGAAGACTCCTTAGTCTCATGGGAGGCAAGGCCTTGAGGCCAAGACACTGTCCCAAGTCTATGACCACTTTCACGGCTGGTTGTCTTGACCATGGACCGTGGTCCCCTTTCACGGTCCATACAAGTGGGCGTGGTGTTTGGATGGGACAACCAAGTTGAGGAAATTTTGGGTAAATTCCTATTCGACTAGGTTTAAGTGGGGGTCGTTTTGTATGTATTTTATTCACCTATTTAGACTATTTTAATTCATTAGCCCCCAAGTTTAAGTAAATTTACATTAGACATAATTCAAAACCCCAAATCACTCCTCTCTCAAACATTTCTCCCTTTAAAAAGAACCTCAATTGAAGAAGAAGTTAGGGTTGAAACTAAGGTCAAGAACAAAGGCTCCATTGCTAAAGGCTTGTGCTAGGGCTTTGATTAAGTTATGTTTAGATCTTCATCTATGGGTTCTTCCAGGCATGGAGTCCCCTATAACTTCCCCTAATTTGTGAAGAAAAACCCCAATCAAGGTAGGGTTAGTTCCAATGTATGGGTTTTAGGTGGGTATGATTCCAAATGGTTGGATACTACTCATATATGATTAATTTAGTGTTGATTCATGATAGTATGAAAAATTTATGAGAATTATTTGATTAAGCCTAATTTCCAAAGTATGAGGGTTTGCGTCTTTTGATGAGGGATTGATGATTCTTGCTAGATTCTCTTAGATTGTTGCCATGAATGGAACTTATTCAAGAATATAAATATGAAATCATGAATTGAATTAGACTTATGCATGTCTGATAGAATATGAATTGAATGATTAAAATTGGGACTTTTGATGAATTATGCTTAAAATTGGGCTTGAAGTCATGATGTTCATCACTAGGGCTTATAGAGTAAGTTTAATATGATGATATAGCTTGCATGTATGTAGAATGTGAAAGGTTATTCACCTAAAATGAATCATACTTGTTAGAATAGAATAGGTTGAGGTTGAGTCTCATGATTGCATCATGGATAGTTGAATGATGTAGCTTGGGATGGTAGATCTCATGGTACCTTGGTATTGAGGAATTAAGCTCTCCTAAGGTTAGCTTAAACTAGCATTGGTAGGATGATTTTCATATAGCTTGCATTAGTATAGGCATAGTAGCCTGGGATTGAGGATCTATAATCTCCTAGAGGTAGCTTGAAGTAGCCTTCATGGTAGCTTGACTTGGTTTGGCCAAGACCATTCCATGGTAGCTTAGGATTGAGACACCATACTCTCCTAAGGATAGTTTAGGGTTGAGGGTTCATACTCCTCTAAGGATAGCTTGCATCTTATTGAATTGTTTCATGGTGGATAGGTTGGTGTACTTGTATCCTTCCTTCGATAGCTTGGATTGCATGATAGGGTGTTTTCCATGGTGGTTAGGTCTAGCATGGTAGTATGCTATTCTTTGGTAGTCTGGAATGATGAATAGTAAGCATTGAGCAAGTCCTAAAGGAGTACTTAGTGTGAGTGGTAGTATGGGATGCCATTCATACATGGCACAAGTATGACTTGAAGCTACTTATGAAGTGTCCTCTTATGTGTTGTATGCCTAACTTGGATTGTTACTATAGTTGCCTTCCATAATATGAATGGACTTAAGATGATAGTTCCTTGTCAATATGAAAGTAGGTCAACAGTGACACCTAGAAATGATGAATATGAATGTGGTGACTTTAAGGATATGCTTAGTGTGTGTGGTATTATGGGATGCCCCACATGCATTGCACAAGTGTGCTTTGAGGTTACTTAGGTGTATAGTGCTCTTATGCCATGAAAACCAAGGTCTTGACTATGAAGGTGGGCTATGACCAAGTATGACCAAAGAGAGGTACTTAGCTTGGATGGTATTATGGGATGATATCTTGGCCTTGCACAAGTATGCTTGGATGTGGCTTGTGAAGTGGTTCACTTGAATTTGAAAGACAAATGGTTGATGTATGTAGTTATGTATGTCTTATGTTGACTTGTGATGATATGATACTTATGTTGGAGTTTATGTTATGAATATGTATTGTCTCTTATGTTTATGTCTTATGTTGACTAACCATTTGAGATGCTTTATGATGTGCTAGCTTTCATACTTGGCACATTTTGTACTAACACATTTGAAATGCTTTATGATGTGTATGCTAGCTTTCATACTTGGCACATTTTGTACTAACACATATTGCCTACATTCTAATCAAATGTAGGGTGTTGGAGAATGAGTGCTTGAAGGCTAGGCTTCCAAGGATCTAGAAGGCTTGAATATTTGGTGAGTCCTCATAGCTTCGAGGACAAACCTATTATGTTACTTATATGTCTTTTCTTATGTTTTGGACTTTATATGGGCTGCGTCCCAAGACTTTTATTCATGTTATGCATAGATGGTTTGAGACAAGATTATTAGTAAAGACTTCCACTCGTTTATGAAATTGTTTTGGATTGTTTAAAGAAAGTTTTAAATTTCCCTACTTTTTCTATGATCTTCTGTTATGAAGGTACTAAGGATTGTATGTGATCCCTTTGGGGTCAAGTACGCCTTGTTACGTCTATGGGGTACCCCTGGGTCGTGACAAACTTGGTAATCAGAGCAAAAGGTTTAGAATGGTTCTAGGATAGTCTCAAACCACGTCTAAGTAGAGTCTTATTCATGGGTATGATTGACAACACATTTATGAATATGAGGCTATTGGATGCTTAGGAAAAGTCTCACTTCTTCATTCTCTTAGTCGTGCCATAGAAGTTTAGCTCTAGTACGTCCTTCTTCTAATGTTTGCCTATGATTTTTCAGGTTATGGAAAATACTAGGGCGAATACTAGGAGGGAAGGAGAAGATAATGAGGACCAAGAGATTCCTCCCCAAGCCCCAAATCAAGTTCCTCCTCAAGTTCCAAATGACCCTCCAATTGGGAATGCCACTCTTGCGGAGTTTAGGGCTTCTATGCAATTGTTGGCTCAAGCCAATAGAGAGGTGGTGGCTCCGGCAAACCCTATAGGGGGAATGGGTGCTTATAGGATTAGGGTGTTCTTGAGGATGAACCCTCAGAAGTTTAGTGGCTCCAAGGTGGAGGAGGATCCAAATGGGTTCTTAGATGAGGTTTATAAAACACTTGCTATCATAGGGGTAACTTCTAGAGAAAAAGTGGAATTAGCCGCTTACTAATTGAAAGATGTTGCCCAAATTTGGTATGAGCAATGGAAAGATGCTAGGCTGATAGAGGCGGGCCCTATAGAGTGGTTAGCCTTTAAGTTGGCATTTCTAGATAGGTTCTTTCCTTGGGAGTTGAGTGAGGCTAAGTTGGAGGCATTCATAAATCTTAAGCAAGGCAACATGACTGTCAATGAGTATGCCTTGAAATTCAGTCTTTTGTCTAAGTATGCTCCATCTTTGGTAGCAAGTCCAAAGGATTTGATGAATAGGTTTATGACAGGGGTGTCTGATCTAGTAGAAGAAGAATGTCGTATAGCAATGCATGTTGATAATATGGATATTTCACACCTCATGGTGTTTTCCCAACAAATAGAAGAGTCAAAAGTCAAGAAGGATAGGGCTAGGGAGAAAAAGAGGTCTAGGGTGGATAATGACGGGACCGATGGACATGGTCATTCTAGGAATCAATAATGGTTTTCCAGGCAAGGCTTTTCTAATGCTCCTATGTATAATGATGAGAGGGTGTCTACCCCTAGGCCACAAGGGAAAGGTAGTGAGTCCCTATGGCCCACTTGTTCTAGGTGTTGTAAGAAGCATGATGGTAAGTGTTTGGTAGGTAGAGATGGTTGCTATGGATGTGGTGAGAGTGGCCACATGAAGAAAGATTGCCCAAAGGCAAAGGCTACTATAAGAGAGGGTAAGCAAGTTGCCCCTAGTGGTGGGGATGATGATCCTCCAAAGAGGAATAGGTTTTATGCTCTCCAATCTAGAGAAGGTCAAGAGTGATCTTCTCATGTCCCTTCCGGTATGTGCTTCTTTCATGTTTTAGAAAATTTCCATATTTCTTGTCTTTTTTCTGACTTGTTATGTTGGACATGATGTTGTCCTTGCCATGATTGATGTTAGAAAAGCATGTGTGGGCTTTACTCCCAAGGGGGAGATAGTGTACCTATTCCATAAGGTCTTTACACGATTATGTGTTGGTATGATCTCTTTATGTATGTTTATAAAGTGGTGTAGGCCTTGTTAGAATTGATCTAATTGCATTGTGTTGCCTCATGTTGTAGCATCTTTGAGTCAATGTGCATTTTAGGCTCCATTAATTTATGTTGAGCATGTTCTAGCTAGGAGATGTTAGTTCCTCGTTGGAAATGAGTATATATGTCTCTTTCATGCATTTTGAGTTGCATTACGTATGTTTAGCTTGGAATTGAAGTTCCTTGTTTGTTAGTGTGCATGTAGATGTAGTGCATACATGATGGGCTGGTAGTCTAGATTCTCTTCGTTGAATAGTGGTTAGAAAGGTCAATCGAAGATGAATGTTCCGAAGGGGGAGGTATTGTAACACCCCATAAACTAGTAGACCAAACTAGATCCACAACCTAGGGTTCTAAGGCTTGATGTATGAGAAATAGAGTCGTAGATGAGACTTTACGTACTTAGAATGAGGAGGTTAGTGGTTGAACGTCAAGGTACGTATTAGACCCAGTAGCCTAGATGACCATTGAGAGTTTGGTTGAGCATGGGAAGGGCAAGTACCAAGGCAAAAGGGCAAGCCTATGCCAAGGGGCCAAGGGGCCAAGGCTGCCCAACCTTGGCAAAACACTGCCTAAAAGTTCACGATCACCTTCACGACCAGTGGTGTTGACCACGGTTCGTGAAGGGGTTTGTGAAGACTCCTTAGTCTCATGGGAGGCAAGGCGTTGAGGCCAAGACACTACCCCAAGTCCACGACCACTTTCACAGTCGGTGGTCTTGACCACATATCGTGAAGTGGTTCGTGAAGATGCCTTAGGTTTTGGAAGCATGGGAGGTTGAGGGGAGCTACTGCCTTGAGGACCACGGGACGTGGTCCCCTTTCACGGTCCGTACAAGTGGGCGTGGTGTCTGGACGGGACAGCCAAGTTGAGGGATTTCTAGGTAAATTCCTATTCGACTAGGTTTAAGTGGGGGTCGTTTTGTATGTCTTTTATTCACCTATTTAGACTATTTTAAGTCATTAACCCCCAAGTTTAAGTCACCTTACATTAGACACAATTCAAAACCCCAAATCACTCCTCTCTCAAATATTTCTCTCTCTAAGAAGAACCTGCATTAAAGAAGAAGCTAGCGTTGAAACTAAGGTCAAGTACAAAGGTCCATTGCTAAAGGTTGTGATAGGGCTTTGATTAAGGTACGTTTACCCTTCATCTATGGGTTCTTCCACCCATAGAGTCCCATAGAATTTTCCCTAATTTATGAAGAAGAACCCCAATCAAGCTAGAGTTACTTCCAATGTATGGGTTTTAGGTGGGTATGATTCCAAATTGTTGGATACTACTCATATATGATTAATTTAGTGTTGATTCATGATAGTATGAATAATTTATATGAATTCCTTGATTAACCCTATTTTCCAAAGTATGTGGATTTGTGTCTTTTGATGAGGGATTGATGATTCTTGCTAGATTCTTTTGGATTGTTGCCAAGAATGGAACTTATTCAAGAATACAAATATGAAATCATGAATTGAACTAGACTTATGCATGTATGATAGAATATGAATTGAATTATTATAATTGGGACTTTTGATGAATTATGCTTAGAATTACCTATGACTAAAGCTTGTGACTAGTATATATATATATATATATATATATATATATATATATATATATATATTGTGATATAGACTAGTATGATGATTGTGGAGTAAAGCTTGAGTATAGGGCTTGAAGTCATGATGTTGAACACTAGAATGTGAAAGGTTAATCACCTAAAATGAGTCATGCTTATTAGAATAGAATAGCTTGATGTTGAGTCTCATGATTTCTTCATGGATAGTTGAATGATGTAGCTTGGGATGGTAAATCTCATGGTAGCTTGGGATTGAGGAATTAAGCTCTCCTAAGGTAAGCCTGAACTAACATTGGTAGGATGCTTTTTATGGTAGTTTGCATTAGTATAGGCATGGTAGCCTAGGATTGAGGATCTATACTCTCCTAGGGGTAGCTTGAAGTAGCATGGTTAGAATGCCTTCATGGTAGCTTGACTTGGTTAGGCCAAGACCATTTCATGGTAGCTTAGGATTGAGCACCATACTCTCCTAAGGATAGCTTAGGGTCGAGGGTTCATACTCCTCTAAGGATAGCTTGCATCTTATTTAATTGTTTCGTGGTGGCTAGGTTGGTGTACTTGTATCCTTCCTTTGATAGCTTGGATTGCATGATAGGGTGTTTTCCATGGTGATTAGGTCTAGCATGGTAGTATGCTATTCTTTGATAGTCTAGAATGATGAATAGTAAGCATTGAGTAAGTTAGCCTAAAGGAGTACTTAGTGTGAGTGGTAGTACGGGATGCCATTCATACATGGCACAAGTATGACTTAAAGCTACTTATGAAGTGTCCTCTTATGTGTTGTATGCCTAACTTGGATTGTTACTATAGTTGCCTTCCATAATATGATTTGACTTAAGATGATAGTTCCTTGTCAATATGAAAGTAGGTCAATAGTGACACCTAGAAATGATGAATATGAATATGGTGACTTTAAGGATATGCTTAGTGTGTATGGTATTATTGGATGCCCCACAAGCATTGCACTAGTGTTCCTTGTGGTTACTTAGGGGTATAGTCCTCTTATGACATGAAAACCTAGGTCTTGACTATGAAGGTGAGCTATGACCAAGAATGACCAAAGAGAGGTACTTAGCGTGGATGGTATTATGGGATGCTATCTTAGCCTTGCACAAGTATGCTTGGAGGTGGCTTGTGAAGTGGTTCACTTGAATATGAAAGACAAATGGTTGATGTATGTAGTTATGTATGTCTTATGTTGACTTGTGATGATATGGTTTTTCTGTTATGAATATGTATTGTCTCATATACGTATGTCTTATGTTGACTAACCATTTGAAATGCTTTATGATCTGTATGCTAGCTTTGATACTCGGTACATTTTGTACTAACGCATATTGCCTACATTCTAATTAAATGTAGGGTGTTGGAGATTGAGTGCTTCAAGGCTAGGTTTCCAAGGATCTAGAAGGCTTGAAGATTTGGTGAGTCCTCATAGCTTCGAGGAGAAGCCCATTATGTTACTTTTATGTCTATTCTTATGTTTTAGACTTTATATGGGCTGCGTCCCAAGACTTTTGTTCATGTTATGCATAGATGGTTTGAGACAAGGTTATTAGTAAAGACTTCCGCTCGTTTATGAAATTGTTTTAGATTTTTTTTAAAGTTTCAAATTTCCCTACTTTTTCTATGATCTTCTGTTATGATGATGCTACGGGTTGTATGCGACCCCTTCGGGGTCAAGTACGCCTTGTTATGTCTAGAGGGAACCCCTGGGTCGTGACAAAAATAGTATCTCATCATAAATGATAAATATGCCAATGTATGGGCTTGGATCGTACCACAAAATCTGTGAAAATGAGCAAACCATTCAGTACATGTTATCACCAGCTTTCAAACAAGGTACTCAAAATGAAATAATTATTTAGCCAATGAAACCACACTATCAAGGTAGAAATTACTAACCAAGAATTCAACATGTCCTCACATACAACCTAGGGCCCAATAGTATAATCATAAGCTCAATAAGGATATAACATGCCCACCGCTAATCAACAAGAAAAGGAATCAAGAAAATATTTTGAATCAATAAAAGGGGAGCAAACTCAAGGGACGATGCCCTAATCTAATCACATAGCTCCAATCCCAGACAGAGCACAACTAGAACCAAAGGCATCAAATGTCTATCCTAGTCTAAGGCCACCATGAATCACTCCGAACAAGGATAAGCGAGATCTTCTACAACAAAAGTGAACCCACAACATAAGCTAAGGATCCTAAAACCTATAATAAGCCCAAGGCTCCTACGGAATCAAGAAAGGATTGAATAACAAGAGAAAAGCTAAATACCCTGCAAATACAACATGAAATTACACAAAATCTATACTAGGCATTATCTAAAAAGATTAGTCAATAAAATAGAATGAAGCCTACCTCAATGTCGAATATGAGCGCTTTGAATCTACCACACACGAGCTATTCAAATCCGAAATGCCTCCGAACACCACCAAACTATCAAATTATCAGTTACGACGTTATTACAGACATTTTGACATTAAAATCGCAACAATTGAAAATGGACCCAAAATTCAGTCAAAACATGAATGTGGGACCCGTATCGGGAATCTTGAAATTGACTCCGTTAAAAGGTCTTAAACTAAGCCTCAAACTTCTATTCCAAAATTAACACAATCCAAGGCCCGAAATTATCCCTGAAAACATAATGGAAAAATTAACAAGAAAACCAAGCTAAGGTTGTAGCTTCGCGCTCAATGTTGCCTCAAACAAAGGTTCCTCAACAACTTCTAATCATATACCCAAGTTGTTACGCTCCCAATGATCACATAGGACTTCAAATCACTCAAATCAGAGCTTGGATGAGAAAGAAATACCTTTTGAAAATGAAGGCTGAACTCTGAAATTTTTGGGTATAATACCTAAAACTAGTCTGTAAATGTAAAGTCTAATCTCTAAAAGTCTAATATCTAGTCGCTAAAATCCTGCACCATATATCAACACTTCAACTTGTTTGCTCAAACTAGGAATTCTCTAATGGGTTGTCCCAAATTCGTTCGGAACCCCGTGCATGCAAATGTAATATGCTACCCCATTGAATTTGACATTCCATAATCAACGGAACCATCAAAACTTTCATCCGAGGTCATTTCAAAGAAAAGCAGGTCCCACACCCATGTTTTATTTTAAGCAAAAAACCACAAGAAGGCTCAAAA